TCTGGTCCGCGCCGCCCGCCGGCCTTGGCGCCCCGGAAGGGCGGTGGTCTGCGGTCTGACTGGATCCTGAGGTCCTCTTTTCTGCCGTGGACTTGGCTTTACTCACCCTGGAGCTGGACTATCGGTACGCAGAGACTGCAGCTCGGGAGCGCCGCTCCTCTCGGGGACGTGCCGCCCCCCAGACACAGCAGCCACGCGCCTGCGGCCCGTCCCCGTCTGGTGGGGAGACCAGGGGGTCCTGGGCCTCCCCTCCTGCGTCTGGGGCTCCCTCGAAGCCAGCTGCTGGCAGGCAGACGTGACCGGGTGGCCGCTGGCCTCGTGTGTGCCGCGTATGCGTTTATGGAATGGCCGGCGCCATCGGCCTTCCAGCGTCTCCGGGTGCTTCTGTCCCAGCCAGCTGCCTCCGTATCCCTTTCCTGTCCGTTCTCGTCTCCCTTTAGGTTGCTCAGCTCTTGCTAGCGCTCTGCGTCCCCCCCCCCCGCGCCTCGGTGGCTCCGTTCTGCCAGGCCTATCGCGACGCGTGGCGTAGCCGCCTGCGGCCTCGTCTCACGGCGCGGGGGCAGGTGGGGTTTCTGCCCCTCCCGCAAGGCTCCCACCCCAGGCCCTTGTTTCCTTTACGCCGCCCGCTCTCGTTCTTGTGCCCTGCGTCGTGATCCTGCCGGATGTGAACTCCCACAAGACAGGACGGTTAGTTTCCAGGGCGAGTCGGCTCATTCCAGTACAGCCCTGCAGGTGCTTCTTAACGAACTCTTGGGGTGTGCACGCGTCTGTCGGGTCCTCTTACTTTCTGCCTCACGGCCTTCTCTGTCTAGGCCCCAGCCCAGCCCCGCGTCTCCTGAGACCCTCTGGGCGAGACAGGCTCCCAGAATTCCCTTACTTTGGATGACCTTGACCGTTTCGAGAACAGTTTGAGATAGTTTGTTATTTGTCCCTCATTGGAAATTTGTCGAAGATTTTCCCCAGGAATAGACGGTGGCCGTGTTGGGGAGAAAGACCAGACTTGGGGGCCCTCCCCCTCTGTCCTGTGGGGCCTCACGCCCGAGCAGACCTTCCCCAGCATGCCGACTGCTCACCTGGCTGAGGCATGCCTGGGGGCTTCTCCAGGCCAGGTCCCCTTGCTCCCTCTTTCTGTGCATACTCAGGGGCCGGCCGGTCACCAGCTCAGGCGACTCTTAGGCGGGGCTGTCCCGGCTCTCTTGAAAGGGCAGAATCTCAACACAGATTATTCAGAATTCTCCGCTCTGGGAGGGTTGTCTCTCCTCCCGTTCGTTAATCTGTTGTATTTATGTCTGTAGATTCATGCCTGGTTCGTCGTCACTGGTGCATGTGATTCCATTTTCATTCATAATATCAGTAATTTTCTCAGTCTCTTCTCTCTGCTCTTGAACAGTCTAGCTGGAGATTTTTTTATTGATCTTTTTCGGAAACAAGCTGTGAATCCATTTTCTCTACTGTTTTCCCATATTTCATTGGTTTCTGCTCTTACCTTTATTACATTTCACACTTCCTTACGGCTATTTATTTTGGGTTTCATTTGCCTGACACACACACGAGGGAACTTTCTTGAGTCGTCCACCTTGACAGCCGGGCTGTGTCTCTGTGGTAAAGGCCTGCTCCTCCCAAAGGCAGCCCCAGCAGTTTCTCCTTCTGGCGAATCCTGCCGCCATGTATCGGAACGGCCGCTGTGCCTCGGCTATAGGTAAACTAGTCCTGGCTGTGATTCTCGCTGTCCGTTTCTCCAAATCCAGAGCCCTCTGGTCTTTGGTCTTCAGTTTGTTCAGCTCTTCCTCATGTGGGAATCGTGACTTCCGAGCCATGTGCTCATTGAACCTGCGAGCAGAAATGCACTTTTGCTTTGTGAAGGCAGGTCAGCAGGGGATGGCATTTTAGGTTGGCAAGTGTTTTCTTCGAGGTTACAGGCCATACTTCGTTGCATTTTGGCTTCTCCCAGTTCTGTAAATAAATAAGCCATGAGTCTTATTGTTGCTATTTGAGCGTAGTGTGTCTGTTTGTTTTCTTTAGCTGTTTTTGAGAGTGGCCCTTCTGCTTCGGTGCGGCTGTTTCACTGGCTGTGTCTGGCTGTGCCTTTCCGGGTGCGGCTTCTGCGGGCTTCGCAGCTTCTCTTGACGCTGTCGGTTGCTGTGTGACCGGAAACCTCTGAGAAAATCTTGCTGTCGTCTTCCTTTCCTTAGGCGCCATCCTCACGGGCTCCACTTTCCTCAGTCTCTGGTGAATGTTTCAGCCTTTCCTCTCTGCACGTCCGCCTAGTATTCTCCATCGAATTGTCTTCTCGGTCACTGATCTGCGTTCTGCTTTTTCTAATCTGTGGTTAGTGGTTTTCATATAGTTTTTAATCGTAGTATTATATTTCTTCATGTGTGGAATGTCCACTCGTTACTGTCAATACATCCACACCTGCCTTTTATTCTGTTGGCCAATATCTTCCTGCGCTTTCTTGAAACATATTCATAGATATTTTAAAAATCCTTTTTCTGGTAACGTTAGTATCTGGATCACCTGGGGATATTTTCTTGTTGTTCGCTGGTTTGCCTGTCAGTGAAAGCCTGGTGGGTGTGGTAGCCTCAATCCAGTTAGGGGTGGAGTTGATTTGAGGCTGGGATGCAGCTTCTCGAAGCCTCATTTGCCGTTTTGTTTGGTGTTATTCCTGTTTCTAGAGTGCAGGCCGCCAAGTGTTCAACTCTGAGACCCTGCCCCTGAGAAAGTCTGAAGTGTGACCTTTGCGTCCTCAGGATCACAAGGCGACAACCCCTTCCGATGTCACTGACTTTATCTCCTGCTCACTACCTGCCGCTCAGCGCTTCCGGACCCAGCCAGTGTCTTCAGGGGCGCTGAGGCGTGGGCTCCGTTCCCTGCTCTCCCTCTCTGAGGGGTCGAGCTGCTTGTGCGTGACCTTCGTCTGCGCACTGCTGCCAGCTTTTCATTTGCCTGGTGGCGACCGTGCCTGCGTCTCCACTCCAACTCCGAGCCTCTGTCCTGGCTGCCAGGCCAGTGAGGGACTTGCCTCTCCTCTGGGTTCCCTCTGCACGTGTGTCTGGATCGGTTCTCAGTGGAAGCATAGAATCTTCCACAGTCCTCCAGTAAGCCAAACGTCAGTCCTCCCTTTTTTGATGGGAAGTCACTTCTTTTTCTTTTTTCTTTTTAAACAGCATCCCCTCTGTGCCTTGCACGTCGAAGCCACTGTGCTTAAGGGATGGGTTCCCAGGAGCTGGGTCACCTAGACCAAGACATTGTATTGCTTTACCTCAGCACGCGTTGCCCGTTTGCTTCTTAAAAAAAGACAAGAGAGATTCATTTTCCCGTGAACATTTCCACCCAGGTGTGAGGAGCCTCTTCTCTTATTCTTCCAGAAGACACTCTAGTGCTTTTAAATTTTGCCGGTCTGCGTGTTTGACAGCTCAGTTTAACTTTCATCTGCGTCCATTTCCCTGCATGCTAGTAGCGAATCGCTTCTTTTTCTTGATTTTGGCCGTCGGATTTGCTCTTCAGTGAGCTGTCTGTTTGCATCCTCTGCCGCCTTGCCCCTTCAGAAGCCTCACGTGCAACTGCAGAGGCTGGAGGTCCTGTTTTTGTGAGGAGCCCAGGATCCCGGCTCCTCCCACCCTCTGGGTTCGGACCGGGGGCTTCGTGCCCCGGAAGCTCTGGGCGTCTCCTCCCTGACCCTGCCTCCACCCTCGTGGCCCCGTTCGCGCCAGCTCAGTCCCAGTTCTATGGACATTAAAATGTTTTCTGTTTTGTTCAACCAACTACATTAATCATTCCTATTTTGTTCCTTTTTTCTTCTTTTTAGAAACAAGTTTCGGGTCTGTGGTCTTGTTAATGTGTCGTTCCTTCGCCCACCTCCAGGCCCCTTCCCATACTCCGCAGAGAATCTAGATTTTCCTGCAATACTTTATATTGCTTTACTTTTTATGTGAATACTTAATTAATTTTGGAATCCATTTTTGTATGTCATGTACGAAGGGACACTTCCATGTGTCCTACTGAGTGAACCTTTTGTCACTGATGACATTTCTCTTTGTCCTGGGACCGACTTGAGAATGTGCACATCGTTACACTGAACTCGGCAGCTATTTCTGAATCAAGGCAGCTGGGTCTTTATGTTTTGCAAAACAGATCTTTCCTCATTTTCCTGTCTTGTTATATTTCCACAGCTAGTCTCAGGCCAGGTTTCTATTTTCCCGTTATCATCTTTGCCCAGCTATCCTCCCCCGACTCTGTTACTAGGCTCATAATCGGCCCAGAGTAGCCTGCCCTGCACTCGGACACATTTGCCCGAGCCTGTGTCTTCTCTAAAGAGCCCCGTTTCCCGTTCCTGGGTCACTACTCGGGGAGCGCCAGGGCCGGCTCTCCGGCCTGCCTCTGTCTCCCCTTCTGGGCCCTCCAGGCAGGCGGGGTGCAGGTTGGCTGGCCATTCGCCCCTGGGGTGTGCTGCGTCGCCCGCTCAGCTGCCCCTGGACAGCCCAGGCCGTGGGTTCCTGCTAGGCAGGGCGAACAGTCTGGATGAGTAGGCGCTGCTGGGACCCCACCTCCCTCCGCGCCCCACCCCATGCCACCCAGGCAGCTGTGTACACCGGAGCTGTTTATAAGCGGAAGTTCCAGGGGTGACGGGAGTATTTCTGCTGTCTCCCCCTTCCGCCCCCACACGGGCACACACACACACAGAAGCTGCAAGTGGTAGGTTCTGGGGGCAGGGTGAAGGGATGGTGGGCTAGTTTCAGGGAGCAGACTCGCAGAAGAGAGGGCTGCATGGAGGCCTCTCCAGGCCCACCAAAACTACTGCACCTTGAGATTTAAACTATGGACCGTAGGAAGCATTGATTAAGTTCCAGGCCCCCTCACACCGCCTCGCTTCAGTCCGCCTGCTCCCTGGCAGTAAGCGAGAGTCCATCTGGCCGGCGCCTCGACGGCCTCTGCGTCCACCGCGGCGTGACCGCGGCACCTGCCTGACGCTGCCTTGTTTTCCGGAGCGGCCTGCGGTCCGGAGCTGGAGGGAGCCCACGCTGGCCTGGTGGTTCACTTGCTCGCCACAAGCCAGCAGGGGCCAGGGCAGCCCCGCCCCCAGCGCTGTGGGGCTGTGGGCGGGGGCAGACGAGTAACAATCAGAGGCCAGAGAGGGCGCTGGGAGAATGGCCGGGCACTGCGGGCTGCAGGAGGCGCCTGCGGGACCAGGGCAAGCTAACCCCTCTCCCTCCCTGTCTTCCTTGTCAGGTCCTGGCAGACGACGGGATGGCCATGGATAATGACCAGTACGCACTGCTGATGAAAAAATTAGGGTTTGGCCCGGAGGGGATGAGTTACAATGATTTTACTGCGAGATTCCAAGGTAGCCACCCGCCCAGGGCCGCCCCTGTGCCCCCCAGCAGGGCAGCGGGGCTGGGCGCCCTGGCTAAGCAGCTCGCACTGGGGGAGGGCGCTGGCCCTGGAGCTGCCCACACGGCACACGTGTGCGCATGTGTGCCAGCCCAGCGGGTGGACGCTGACCACGGGTGAGCTGACCCCGGAGCAGACACAGCCACTGACTTTCTGTCTCTGCCTTTTCACCCCGACACTGAACCGAGCGTGCAGGGCCCTGCCAGACCGAGCCTCCGACAAACAGAGACGAACGGGCTGTGAAATTTATGCCAGAGCCCCCGCTCCCTCCATCACACCTCGGGGCCTCAGGGTCCCCCAGCTCTACATGCTGGTTGCCGCTGGGGTTAGTGACCCCAGGCCCTGCAAGGCGCGAGTCCCTCCCACCCTCCTGCAGATAGAGCGG